AATAAATGCTTGTGTTTTTAAATAGTTTATTTGGTGAAAAAGAAGGCTGAAAAGTTTTCTGAACTTTGAAGGGCCGTAACTTTTTAAATAAGGGAGAGCGCCGCTTTTTTCTTTCGGATTCGTAATCTACGCATCAAAATATGTAAGTACAGTCAAAAATTTTTACAAAATCGCCGGGTGTCCACATAACGAAAATTTACCAAATAAACTAGAATGGTTATTTTTTTCACTAAATATGTCAATAAGCGTATCATATTGAAAAATGGTAGGTGTACAGATTCGGTAAATGAAAAAGATAATAATTTGATATATTTTTCTCAGTGTACTTTTTGGATAACTTCACACCCGTACCTAGGATTTTGTAGGTTCACATGAGAGGCAAGGGGAGGTGTTTTATGCACCTCTCCGAAATATGTTTATCCTTGTAACATCGGACATGAAAAAGTAGAACTAGTGAACAACATACCTGTCACTGCCTCCCTGCGGACTCTTGACCAACTTGACAGCAAACAAGAACTGAATGGCGCACACCAACAGGCAACACAAATTGAGTGATAATGTCAAGGCACACAAAGCCAATGTCACTTCGTACACCACCACGTACTCCTCAGCGGTAATCACAGTCAACTGTTCCGACCTCAATAGTTCGCGGATATCATTGGCCGTCACGGGCGAAATCTTCAGGAGGAAAATCAGCGACAACAACGCCAAGAGCAAACTTACTAGACAAAGTAATCCCAAACTCACTAGCATCTCTTTGACACCCACTTCCTTCGATTTGGCGATGAACTTATTCACAGTACTTTGGTTCCGCACCCTGGAGATGTTCAACCCCCCGTTCAGGGATTTGTTTCCGGGGGGTAGAACGGTGTTGCTGTAGATGGAGTGCTTGGAAGTGTCCAGGTTCGTAGAGTGGAGCTGGGAAACATTCAGCGGGTACTGCTGCGATATCCTGGAACTGTTCGCGTTTGGGGACCTGTACCTGTGGGGTCCCTGGTCCAACCTGGGCTCCATTATGATGGAACTCTCTTGACGGGTACCTCGAGTTGAGATGCCCCCATTTGTTATATGCTTCAACATCTTTCACAATCATTTGTACGATGTGGCTGGCGTACCATCGAAACCAGCGACTGGTATCACTGACGTAAGCCTGCCACATATTCCATCAACATTTTTTATTTTATTTTCGAGTTCTTTATGTCCACTTTGGTGCTCATTATGATTTGGTAGTGGGTAATTTTGTGGCCTTGCTGCAACTTAAACTTGGATGTGGCATGTCGAGTGTTCGCTGCCGAATCGAGAATGGGAATCCAATCTGGAACGAAAATCAATATTCAAAACTTTGTGATGGGAAAAACTCTCAATACTCAATGACTATACAAGTTTCAGGTATAAATGTCTTATTTGGTTCCTCTTGAAACAAAAACTGACGTGTTCTTGGAAATTTTTTACACAATTTTTTTGAGTAAAAAGGAAGGTCGAATATAGAATGGATTCGGAAAAGAATAACCAGTTCAAATGTAATGAAAAATAAAAAAAAACTATTTGAAAGCAGACTTGATTGATTTTTTTGTGAAAGCATGTTGAAGGACCTAATATAGTTTGTTTTGTTTTTCAAAAAGTTTACAAATGAGGCAAAGCAGAAATATTTGTCTGTTATTATCTATTTATGTTCTTCTGCCTTCTTGTAGAGAAAAATAGCAGTTTGGAATACAGATGGGGAACAACTTGCAAAAAAAATAAAAACGCCAGTGATATTTTTCTTTTTTTTTACAAAATACGGAAAATTTCGTACTCCTGATCAACTCGTTCAATGAACAAAAATCTTCCAGAGATAGACAATATAGATCGGAAAGTTTTACTTAAATCAAGGTACAACTAACTGTTCCATACAATGATTGTTTTTTGTTTCTCAGGTAGTTCTCTTCTGGTACGAGAAACTATAATTAAAAGTCGATGTACACTTTCATGTTTGACATGTAAATTACAAGCTACATATCGAGTGGTCCAACGAAAAGTATGCACCTTGCTTTTCTCCTTTTTTTTTTTAACTTAACGCAAAAATGCTCGGACAGGTCAATTTTGCTTTTGAGGGGGACACATTTTAGATGTATTTTTCTACCTGTGCCTTCAACCCCCTAGCGAGGGTAAAGTTAGTCCAAAAGTTTGTCGATACCGGATCTGTCTGTAATGTGAAACACCAGCCACGGAAACAAATCAGAAATGAAGCAGTGGAAGTCGCTGTTTTGGGACATGTTGAATTGGATCATACTCAAAGTACCCGTCAGCTCGCTGCAGCCTCAGGTGTCTCCCGTTCATCCATAATACGGATATCAAAAGCCTATAAATTTCATCCGTACAAAATTAAATTAGTACAGGAACTCAATGAAGATGATCCTGATAGAAGGCTGCAATTTTGTGAACAACTGAGCCAGCTACTAATTGATGATCCGCACCTATCATTCAACACGTGATTTTCCGATGAGAGTACATTTTTTTTAAATGGAGCTGTGAATAGGCATAATTGCCGTTACTGGGATGACAGTAATCCACACTCTTTCCGAGAGGTTCATACCCAGTACGCTCAAAAAATCAATGTCTGGTGTGGCATATTAGGTAGTCATATCGTAGAGCCACTTTTTATTCCTGGGAATTTAACTGGTGAGGTTCACCTGAACATGCTTGAAGATACAATAGATCCTCTCATAACAGAAATAATTGAAAATGATTAAAATCATAATGATGATCGGCTTCAATTCCAGCAAGATGGAGCACCTCCTCACTATGTTACTCCGGTAAGAGAGTTTTTAGATGACCGGTTTCCTGGACGGTGGATTGGAAGGAGAGGCCCCATCGAATGGCCTACCAGGTCACCTGATTTATCGCCTTTAGACTTTTTCCTTTGGGGACACTTCAAAAATAAATGTTTTGCTACGCAGCCCGAGTCCATAGAAGATCTTCGCCAACGATTTACAGCAGAGTGCAGAAGAATAACACCTGATATGCTACAGAATGTTAGGAATAGATTTGAACAAAATCTGTATTATTGTATGGAAGCAAATAGATCACATTTTCAGCACTTGCTGAAGTAGGATTCTACTAAGTCAATTACACATTTCAAAGTACTGGGTTGTAGTTGTTTTTCTTCATAATACCTACATGTTTGAGTGAAATACAACAAATTAGGTATCATTGGAAAGAGAATTTTGTGCCCTTTCAAATGATATGTCACTCGACCCCACTTTCCATTTGAAATTTTAGGGTTGTTACTCACCCCTGCTAGGGGGTTGAAGGCACAGGTAGAAAAATACATCTAAAATGTGTCCCCCTCAAAAGCAAAATTGACCTGTCCGAGCATTTTTGTGTTGTTACAAAAAAAGGAGAAAAGCAAGGTGCATACTTTTCGTTGGACCACTCTATATGTTGCATTGAAATTTTGATAATGTTGCCAAATTAGGTGTGGCAGCATTGTTGCCAATAAGGCACAAAACACGCTAAATCTGCGTATTTTCAGGATCTTCGCGCATTTGTTGCACTTAATGGGTTTGATGGATTTTCTGTGCATTTTACATCTTGCCACTTTGTGGGACTATACATCTGTGTTGCCAAGTTATTTTCATGCTTCTCAGTAGATTTTATATCGGAAAAACAGTAGATATATACAAACTCCTGCATAAAATATATTTTAGAGATACATACTACTCATATGATAATTTTCACTAGTTACAGTCATTTAATGATTGGTATAGAACGTAAATTGAGTAGATCAGTAGATTTCAACTCTCAAACAGCAGAACAGTATCTTGAGAGCCGAAACAGAAGATCTACTACAAAAACAATAGACATTGCAACATTGGACACGGCGCTCCTCTCGTGCGATTTCTTCTTCATCTGCAGGAGATCTTCTAGCTTGTGGCATTGTGAATAACACTGTGAGGGATATTGCTGACTTTGCTGCTATTATGACATAACAATTATTCATAGGCCACAACAAATGCTAAAACTCAATTGTATTTGCGCGCGCTATGAGAACTGTCATAACCTAACAAACCGAACGAAGTAAATTTATTCGATGTTTTGACAGTTATCCTGCTAGTTCGGGCGGCCAATGAAACAATGGCATTTTCATGCATCCGCAGAAAAGTGACACAAGACAAAAGATAGAACAAAACAATAAAACAAATATCATTTGATCTAGCAAATTATTTGCTGGTTTCGGGTACCTGCTGCATCAGTAATCAACTCGAAAACAGCAAAAAATATGTCACACACCATGATGACTTGCTATTTTTGTTACTCTCTTCATTAAACTGTATTTCACAAAATTTCAGACGTCTTCAAGGTTATGAATCAAGTATTCATTTTCCCATGAATTAATGTTTGGCGTTTTTTGATCAGATTAGTCGGGTTTTCAACATCAAGCTGGCACAAAACAACTTCATGGAATTGGCAACACTGTGCAGCAGATTGGTGGTACTACACCGGACGACATTGAAATTACCTCAGTTACGAGAAGTAAGATGATTGCGAATTCTTTGTTCCGGCCATGACATCTAAACTTATTCACTGATTTACCGCCACTTTCTGGGGAATGTGGGAAATATTGGGTTGACGTGAGAAACGTGACTGATTGACCCTAGAGCGTGTGAAGGAATCTGAAAGAGCAACAAAAGAGTTCAGTATAACATGGTAGGTATATCGAATAATTGCGATACTCTTGAGTTTTTTCGTTCCACTGACAGATAAATCATTGTTAGGCAGGATGTTAACGTATGACAGCATAGGACCTAAAAGTTAACCCTGTGGTACACTTACTTCAACTGTTCTCCTCTCAAGCGTCTCTTCATTTCAACGGTTGACTACGGTGCGACAAGTATAATGAGAATCAGTTGTTTTTAGACTAATATATCGCTTTGAAAAAATAACTATTCTGAATTGAGTTCGAAACATTCACCTTTCCCAACGTTCCTACACAGTAAGCCTGACACATAACGGCCAGAAAAAATCAAATTTACTTGAATTCCTTCGGTTTTCATGAATTTCAAATCAAAATAAAAAGAATATTTCTCATAAATGGGAGAGAGATCATTCAAGTCTAGAACAGATAATAGTAGTCCAAGGTTAGGTCTTTGAGGGACACCAGAGAAATTTACCTGATGTATTATTATTGTGTTCAACACAGAACTATCTATTTTTTGAATGACCTTTTGAAAATTTTAATAAATTCTCAAAAAATCCAATTTTATTTAGTTTATATAACAGAACATCGTGGTCTACTTTATCAAAAGTCCGTGAATATTTGTTTTAAGGACAAAACATAAGCGCTACAGGAAAATCCTAAAGGCGCTCTCACACAGTGCCTGTATCCCCAATTAGGCGGATGGCTCTTTTCTGGATGGAATTCGAAATCGATCCCCATTAAGATATATGCAGCCGATGTCCTGGAATGATGAAACAAGTGTGCTGTCGTCAGCAAAGCAATATATTCGAATCTTGGTTTTTTTCTAATAAGTCGTTGATATATAATAAAAAATGGGCTGGAAGTAATATGGATCCCTGGGGAACACCAGCGTTGATGGTAAAAGTAATCGAGAGATATCCATCGACGGCCACTTGCAGAGAACGTTCTTTTCAGGAAGCTGGAGAGCCATACACAGAAATTATCTGACAAGCCATAGCCATATACTATCGAGTTGACTCTTTGATTCAAGTTTATTATATGCTTAATTAGTAAAAAATTGTTAGTTTATTTTCGCTACTATTCATCTTTTTATTTTTTAAATTTGTTAATCATTTTCGACAATCCGAATTCAATGAGAAACATTGCCCTTCACATTCAAACATGATTGTAATAATGGTGATAATAAAACTACCGACTGTAGTAATTATAACAACTGCAAACTGAATGAAACTCGTGAATTTCATAGAAGGCGAGTCTAGACGTCCATTGGATTTTGTTGATTGATTCGTGTTACCTGAATTCCTTTGAAGTGTTCTCACTCGCGACCTTCACAAAAAAAATGGCCTGGGGTGCTTGCTATTTGTTTAATAATACTCATAAGCTAACGTACAACAAAACATAAGTAAACTCTCAATGAAGCGGTCTTTTCAATGTTGAAGGCCACGATTTCATATTTCAACAGACTTATTTGAATCATTTGCATAAGGCGACAGGTTATTTCAGACGTAGGTATGCTGTCAATAGGTGTCATATTCGGAATCTTATTGGCAATATATTTGGAGAATTTCCAGCATAGAATTTAAAAGTTATCAAATCGTATTCAAATCTAGGAAGAGACGAACGCAAATCTAGTGGGAGGGACCGTACCGGAATTCAGAAAGCTCTCATAGTATATCATTTTTGAATATTACGCCACGCACTGGAGAAATATGCCAGGAGGGGGGACGACTTCGAAATTT